GTTTATTGTCACCCAACAATTGGGTGACAATTGTGCGGGCAAGATCCTGTGAATGCCGCAGAGAGCCTTTACGAAGGGGTGAAAGGGCAAGGTTAGCCCAAAAGTGAGTGCCCGGGTGTACACGGTCATATGGCCGGGAGGAGGATTGTGCGCCTTGTCGTGGGGGGTCAGAATGATCACGTAGAAGTGAAGGGGGTCGATCCCTGCGTTGACGAACGCCTTTCTAGCGGCGTGGGGCCTGATCTTGGACGGGTCGAGGTCTGTGGCCAGCCTTGAAAGTGTACTCGTAGGCGCAGCCCCATACCCTTGGCGCCCGGGAGAGTCGGCCAGCGGGTCAAAACCCTCGTCATCAAGGAGAACGAGTGCGTCTTGTTGGGAAGACGAGGCGGACATGTCAGCGTATTCCTCGACTTGGCGAAGTAGGGAGTCCCCGTTTCCGCCCAAAGACGTGCTGGAGGTAGCAACGTCCAAGGGGTCTTCCCTGACCCTATGCTCGGAAACCTCTCGACCTCTAACATGCTTCGACGACATGTTCTGAAAATGAAAGGCAAATAGGGAGTTAGCTCCTAGCGGTCGAGAGGTCCAAAGCGCAAGGTAAGAGAAACAGACTACATTGCAAGCCACGGAGGCTCAGAGCCAAGTCCGAGGGCCTCAACGGCGACCAGGAGGTCATACATTTCCAGCCCCGCCGTCGGCGTAAGGCCGGCGGCACCAGGCAAGGGCGTTTCTCTCCCCCCCCCCTTTTTATCTGCAACACATTTCGACGCAACGGTCACCGACGAGGCGGCCGGACCCACGGGGAAGAACAGGGAGAAAAAGGACGTACCGGAGTTGGAGGATGCTCGAGTCTGAGAACGATGGACGGTTCAAACGCGGAAGATGCACGGAGGAAATGGCTCAGGGGAAAATCCGGCAGAGTAACGGTGTCTTGAAAACTCGGTAGTCAAAAATGCAAAGGTAAAGGGGTATATATACCCGCAAGAGAGGGAGCCAAGGGGTCTTCGAGGAGTCCAAAGGGCTCCAGATCTCGACCGTAGAATTTGAATCGATCCCATCCGACGGTGGATCCAAGAAGGCATGATCGAACGGCTGAGGAGAGAGCAACAGGAAAGGGCTTGATCCGGCGGTGATGATTTATCCCCTCGTCCCACGTGGCGTTAGGGAAACGAGGACGTGACGGTTCATACAATCGACGTGACTGCTCCACTGCCCGAGAGACCAGCCGCAATGATCACAATACATGCGAGCCGCAGTCCTAAACCGCAGAAAGGTCCCTTTCCACGCGGCATCCTCAACGTTGTACAGCCAGGAAAGTCACACCGCGGTATTCCAGTCTAGGGGGTAATTGTTACACCATAGTCGAGTCATCGACCATTCCTTCGAACGACCGACGCCGAGGACTCCCGCGCGGAGGACTAGCTATTGGCATCGAGGGTAAGGCATAGCAAACGTGCCCTATACGTCGAGAGATAGCACAAGAGGAGAGGCGCCGGGCGAAGACTCTACATACTGAGACCGCGGCGTCGAGGGAACATTGTCGGTCCTTTTTGCCAGGAGTCATGTCAACCCGAGGAGGGAAGTACCGATCCGACTGCTACTGCAGAAGTCAGGAAGTCAGGCGGCAGGTTGAGAGGATCAGCCGTATTTCCCAGAAAAGTCATCATGAAGAACCCACCTACCCTTACGAGGATCGAGATCAGAAGATGGCTTCCACCTTGGGAGCCGGGAATATGTAATTAAATGTAGAGGCCTATAAATAGAAGGAACGAAACCCAGAAAGGGGTTAGACACCATTGATATTACAGAGAGAACTTGTAAACATCTGAGAAAATAGTGCATGCACAAGTGGATTAGGCACAAAATTATTGCCGAATCACTATAAAATCCTTATCTCTTCTACATTACTTTACTGCTTATTACTTGATTCTGTGGTTAGTGCAACTGTGAGCGTTTCCAGAGAGGTAATCACGAGTTGTCGGAAAAACACCGTCAACAATTGGCGCTAGAAAGAGGGCCAGAAGCCCAGAAATTTAACCCAGCTTTGAACCAAAAGAAACTGTCATCATGCCTCCCGGCAAGCGTGTCCGGAATACCACCACCGCAGGAACCTCAACGGATCCGCTTCCATCAGCGTCCGCGACTCCCCCAGACCGTATCGACCAGCTCCAAAAGCAGGTCGAAACGCTGGCCACAGCCGTGGAAAGGATGGCTACGGCCCTGGCCGGGCGGGAACATGGGCAGAACCCAATGCCACCGCTTGAGGATGCGTCAATGAACCCGGTGAACGCCGCTGTTGGGGGCCAAGTGATTGGCGACCGACGCGGTGACGCCGAGGAAGTCGCTGACAGTCGAGCGAATGATCCACGCCCGTCAAAGTCGAATTGGTCTGTAGGGAGCAGGCAGCGCGCGGCACGGAGGAGAGCGCGGGAGAAGGCTGCGGTGCCAGCTGTGGACAACAGAGATGCACCCCCTCGACCGCAACAGGATCCACCTGGGAGGAACGTCGTCCCCGTGGGATCCACGTCGGTGCATGGCGGAGACCTGAGGGCAAGGCTTGACGCCCGACATGTCAAGGCCGTGCAGCTGACGAGGGAAGATGAGCTCGCAGCAGAAAATAAAGCTCTGGCCGAGAAAATGGCCAGGTTGGAGAAGCAGATGGGGAGTCGACTGAACAACTTTGAACAGGTTGTGGGAAAGGTGGCCGAGGCAGTTAACGTCGACGCCAAGATGTATACGTCTCACGACCACCCGTTCACGGAAAACATCATCCGGGTCCCACTTCCCGACAAGTACAAGTCGCCTCCTATTCCGTTATACGACGGGAGGAGTGACCCGGACGATCACTTAGAGGTGTACACGGGACACATGGTCCTGCATGGATACCCCGAAGAGGTGATGTGCCGGGCGTTCAGGAATCACCTTTTCGATTCCGCGAGGAGATGGTTTAGGTCCCTCAAACCAAACTCCATCACCAGCTGGGATGATTTGAAGAACGCATTTTTGACTCAGTTCATAGGTGTCAAGAAATACATCCCACCAACTCAAATTCTAACTTTTGTATACCAACTGATGTGACACGTGAGTTTTTATTTTTTCATTAGTGGGTGTTTAAAACATTACCATGTCAATTAATGAAAGAAATTACATCTACTAATAAAAAATAATAACTCACGTACTAAATCAGTTGGTACACAAAAATTAGACTTTGAGTTGGTGTTCCTAGCATTACTCTTCTAAAAAATAGTAAAGAAAAAAAAAAGTTCTATTCTAAATGAATTAACGAATATATAGTTCAATATTGCTTTTCTTCGTCGGTCGTCGTCTTGAAAGCATCGCAATAACATATCGTTCATTTTGAAAACCAATAGTAAATGACAAGTGATATTTTAGTTTTTCATTGTAAAGACGTGTCACTTGTCATTCAAGACAACGATAAATCCAAAAGAAAATGACATGTCGTTTTAACATAATAACTCTACGGGTGCGTTTAGTTGCAATAGGGGAATGATAATAGTAAGGAGAATGATAATGATAATGGAATGAAAAATAAAATTGATTCATTTGTTTGGTTGTAATTTGAGAAATACTTACATGAATATTTTCATATTAACAAAATTACTCTTATATTATATATAACATTAATATTTTATATATCAATATAATTAATATAATATATAAAATTTAATATAATATAATAAAATTATTATTATATAATATATTATAAAATTATATAATAAACGATAATATTTTAGTTATAATATAATTAAAAATTACAACTATATTATAATTATACTATATCAATATAATTAATATAATATGTAAAATGTAATATAATATATAATTATTATATTTAATATAATACAATAAAAATATTATTATATAATATATTATATAATTATGATATATAATATA